AAAAATATTATATAAAAATTTTAAATTTTACTTACCTCTCTCTTTGTAATTGCTGAAGCCTTCCGAAATTCTGGAATAGGCTGAATGATGAACACAGATGACCGATTTTGATTGGTCTAAAGTTTTGACTAAGTTTAGGCGTTTTGACGCTTATTTAACCCTGCCAAAAACTGTCAAAACGTTTAGACTTTCGACGGATTTAGTTTTGACTTTCGACATTAGCCTATTATGGTTTCATCCCGCAACTATAATTGTGGCAGAATTCGATAATAGGATGACCGCTATACTTCAGCAATGCTTATCTAATAAGCAACTTGTACACTTTATGCCTACTGTTGTAAGTGATGAGACTGAACACATTAATGGAGTATCCACTTATATTTTATATGTTAGTAGTTGCTTGATTAATGGATAAAAGGCTATCGTGAATATTATGGGTATTAAACCTTTCTTTGATGTCGTAGTACCTAAAGAGACATCATTACCTACATTTAAGATCAGATTAGTAAATATACTATCTAATACCCTCAAAGGCACATTGAAATTCAGGATCAAGCATATTAGCACTTTTTCACTTCAAGGATATTATATAGAAAAGAAACCATATATACGTATTACTACTTGAAATCATTTTGATCGATATAAAGCATTAAAAATAGTTCGTGAAGTTGGTATTAGTACCGCTTCTGATGACCTAAATCCTACATATTATTATCACAAAGTAGCCTGTGAAAAAAGATTATCTCTTTCAAGCTGGGTGGTACTAAGTAACTATTCATACAAATACAAAGAAAATTCATCAGCAAATATTTATTCCTTCCAAGTATCTGTGAACAATTATAATCCAATCAGTGAAGACGATTATAATAATCCATTATTTTTTTCAGCACTTTTATGGGATCACGCTCTTGTTCTCACATGGAATATCGAAACATATAACTTACAAAAAACAGGTGAGATGCCTAATGTAAAATACGAAGAAGACGTTGTGTTCATAATTTGTATGACTGTTCATTGGAAAGATGATCCTGAACCGTTAAAACAAATCTGTCTTGTTGATGTTAAAACTGTGTCAGACTCACACTTGATCACAGTTATATGTGGGAACTAAACCAATTTACTGAAAGCATTTGCATTATGTTGGAAATGTTTAGCTCCAGATATACATATAGGTTTTAATAATTCACAATATGACTGACCATTTATTATGGAAAAGGTGAAAAAGTTAGGCGTTCTCGAATGGATGTTCAATCATATGTCACTAAAACCTATGAGTCTCGAAAAGATTACAAAATGGCAATATCAATATAACATGATAAAAGTAAATGATGGGAACTTCTATTCGAGATATGGGTTGTGATCTAAGAAAATCAGGTTCTGAGAAATTTTTGACTAAAATTAATGTCTTATTACATTTTGGTCTAAATGTAATAAAAATTAAAATGCAATTAAAATCTCAATTTTGATAAAAAATTCTCAGAACTTGATTTTCTTAGATCACAACCCATATCTTAAAATTCCTGGATGCGTGGTTATTGATGTCTGACCCTGTTTTAAGAAATTCTACCATAAAGCTGAAAAAAGTAGTCTCTCATATTACTTAAGGAAGTGTAATCTTGACAATAAAGTAGATTTACTTATTCATCGTATGAACAATATTATAAAAGGGTATTAAAAGAAACTAATGCCACAACGGCTGAGCAGATGTATGAAGTGGCTAAATACTACATTATTGATGCTCTTAGCTGTCAGCAGTTAATGGTTAAGCGTAATGTAATCAATTAATATAGGGAAGTTGCGAGTATAGCATTTATATCATTATTCAATACGCATTATTTTGCAATAGGAATGAAAGTGCGTAATCTTTTAAGTGCTGATGCGTGGCAGGAAAAAATTTTAACCAGTATAATTCTATGTTAACAAACAGAAACAGGAAAATACCCTGGAGCCTATGTTTTCCACCGGTAAAGAGTCTCTAAATAGATGACCTATAACTGATTTAGACTTTGCATCATTATATCCAAGCCTTATCATGATATATAATCTCTCACCTGATAAAATCATTTTATCTCGAGAGCGTGCTGAATCTCTAAAGGAAAGTGGTAAAAGGCTTCATGAAATTAGTTTCAAATACAATGGTCGGGATGTTCTCGCATAATCTATAGAGCATAGAAACCAAGCTGAAATGAAAGGCCTTTATCCAAAAGTATTAGAGGAGTTACTTATTAAATGAAATTCTCTAAAAAGACATCTTGCTTCATTAAATGATAGAAAAGAAGAATTAGAAAAGGAAATTAGTTTGGTAGAAGCAAGAGCGAGAACATTATAGATGCTTTAAATCTAAATACTCTTCAGTTTCCTTTATTGATGCCTGTCTAGATGCAAAATCACTCGCTTTAAAAGTGTATATGAATACATTTTACGGTGAAGCTGGGAATAGCGGGTCCCTTTCTTCTTGCGAGCATTAGCAGGCGGGGTAACATCAGCTGGTCAGTGAAATATTAAGCTTATTGCTAATCTTGTCAGAAGTAAAAGGTTTAGTGTAAAATATAGGGACACAGATTCCTTATACTTTGTCTATTCAGAAGAATACTTTCAGAAATGTGATGAGGCATATGACAATGGTAATGGGATCTCAAAAGAAGAATATTAGTCTAGAATGGTGAATATCTCTATGGAAGTAATAGAAAGACTTCGTGATGAAGTTAATGACTTTCTCAGAAATGATAATGGATCATCTTATCTCAAAATGGCGTATGAGGAAGTCTTATTTCCAGTAGTATTTACTGGAAAGAAAAAATACTATGGCATCCCACATAGAAGAGAGCCTAACTTTAATAATAAGCTTTTCATTCGAGGGGTTGAGATTGTAAAGCAGAAGCAGTCTAAACACTTTCGTGAAGTAGGTAAGAATGTCATGAATAAATCTATGAAGGTGGATAATTTACGTATCTTACATCAGATTGTAAAAGACGTGCTCAAAGAGATCATAGATGATATTTCACAGATAGATCTTAATGGGATGGTTAAAGCTGCTATGTAGAAGCCCGATAAAAATAATAAGAGTGTCCAGTGTTTCATTTCACGAATGTGAGATGGACATACCCATAAAGAAGCAGATGCCAAATGATGCATAAAAAAGGCTTAACACCCGAGCCTTATTTTTATGAAATCCCAGAACTAGGTGAACGCTTTGAGTATATTGTAGTTGAGAATGATTCATTATGCCTAAGCGCCTCTGGCTAGAGGGTAGGCGATAAAATGGAGTATCCAGAAGTAGTAAGGCGATTAGGTAAAAAGATCGATATTAGCTATTATCTGAAAACTGTTGTTGGCCTCTGTACATGATTTATTAACTATGATGAAAGTTTTCAACCATCATATGAAATTGTACTTGGGGTCTTAAAAAAGGTAAAAGATAGTAATAAAGCAGGTGACAATAAAGTGGATAACGGTGCGGTGGATGAAGATGACCTGAACGAAGATGAAGAGGATGAAGACAAAATGGATGAAGATGAGATATCAAAAATAAGAGATGCCTTAGTACAGAAATCGACTGAAAAGTGGATTAGGGAGTATATCAAAAACCTACATGATGGTCTGAAAAAAGATAAAACTATTATATCTCATTTATGAGAAGGGGTACACATTTACATGAAAACTTTATTTAATACTACTTATGCTAACAAAGGAAAACACCTGACTAACAATGCTTATTACCAATCATTCCTCAATGCACTAGATAAGCAAGAAGAATCCATCCGCTTAAAACTTTCATCATTGCTTAAAGAAATTTCTGAGGTTGATATAAAGTATAGAGACAATATGTATAAATTAGTTATTAAGAAGCGAGCAATATCCTTAAAATAATATTTAACATCATATTATTTGGATGAGTATAAGCTACTAGCAGATTTTCGAAACACATGGTACAAAGTGATTAGCCTAGAAATCACACGCTACCGAATGTTATCGAAATTACAGGATAGTAAAAAAGATGATTCATCCGAAGCCGATATAGATGATATCATTGAATTATATGAATAAGTACTCTTAGCGGGACGTGGCAATTTCAGCTAAGAAAACCTAACCATTAAGGTATTTCGTATAATATTATTTACATTTTTTCTCATGCAATAATACCAGCTAACTTTATTTCCTATCTTTGAACTTCCAGCCTCTGATCACATAGTCTGACCTCGAATATATCTGGCCAAGTTTAATTCTACTTCTAAACTAGCAATCTGAATTTGCATATATTCAGATCGATTTTTCTGCACCTATAAAATGCAAGACAAAATTGACACTAAAGCTTTAGCATATATCCAGAGACGTAAAGGAAGGTGCTTAGCTAGAGTTAGTAGTAATTCTAATATTTATTTACAGATATGTAAAAGGGGTCATCAATGGAAGGCGCCATATAAAAATATGAAACAGAATCATAGATGGTGTAATATTTGCCCTAATATACTGGAAAGAACGTGTCAGTATATATTCGAAGATTTATTAAATAAAAAATTTCCACTCTGAAAACCTAAATTTCTAGAAGGTTTACATCTAGATAGATACAATGAAGAACTAGGTTTGGCCTTCGAATATAATGGTAACCAACATTACCAAATCATACCTTTTTTTCATTCAGAAGGGCAGATGAATATAGATGCGCAAATTCAGCGTGATTGGAAAAGAGGGCATTATACTATGAAAAAGGAGTAATCCTTATTATAATTCCTTATTGCGTTGTTGACTTAGAGACTTTTATAAAAAGCGCCTTGTATGCATTCGGTTACCTTTCAATATCAACCTAGGAGGAAGCATTGGCTCTTCTTTAATATGCATTAATTGTTCCCTTACAAAGGAACGTTGAAGTCCTGAATCATCTAAATAATATAAAACAGGCATTAAGGGATTCTTTTCAACAACAATTCTTCAGATTTTATGTAGGTTAGGGGATCATATTGGGTCTATTATTCTGCGTCATTTGAAAGGATCATTTTCCCATTCTCCTTTAGCAAGCAAAAATCGGACAGTAGTACATTTTGGCAACTAGAGTTCATCAACACCTATTGGGCGATTATATTTTACTGATAGTTTGGAATACACCCGCTCAAGTTTCATAGCGTCATTAGGTCTCATTCCAATTAATCGAGTTGGGCTATCATTCATGTTATCAACAATTCTTCTTGCAAATCGTTTACATTCCCTGCAACGTTCGCCGGTAGGTAAGAGAAATTCTATCAAATACTGATGTTTAAAAACTCTATATTCGAATAATCCAGCATAATGATCGATTATAGCCAAGCTTGTATGTCTGAAACATGCTATAATTCTTTGGATTTCAATACCATACTTATTCATTAATAAAGTTACATATCCCATAAACTCAGTACCCTTATCACATTGTAGTTTTCGAGGCTAGTTAAGGAATTATTAGGATTATCATATATACTCTTAAAAGCTTCTGCGACTTTTGCACTACTTTTTGATGTTAAAAAAATGAAATCTTTATATCTAGTCGCACAGTTATAACCAACAATACATAGTAAAAGATTAGACCATTGTCTAATAAATCTATATTCACATCATCATATGGTATTTCGA